TCATAACCATCGGTCGTTTTTGAAAATTGATTTTACTACCGCAGAAAAAAATAAAAATAATAACGAAAAAGTTAAGAATATATGACATATAAAGATGCATTCAAATTTGCACTAAATTAAGTAACTCATACTTTAAAAAGGCTGCGAGGCCACGTGCGCAGCGGGCACCGGAAGGAAGCACACATAAGTCACTCAGCGAGCGCTACGTTTCCGACAATGATCTGCCCTGCACGTGTCCAAGCGAGGGCGGGCGGACTCTAAGTTTTAACAAATAAGACAAATTTACCCCCCACAAGCTAAAGAGCCCAGTGGCGTGTTTTGATTAATACTGAAATTTATCTATATTTGTAGAATAAAGTTCCATGGTAACCAGTGAGCATTTAAAAAAATGTTAAGCACTAGGATTCCCTCATGGGGGCAGTTTACATACCTAACTTGCTCAAGGACAAACATCCAGACCCAGAACAAATATTTGTACATCATACAATTGCTTGTGCGGGATTCAAACTTGCGGCCCTTTGCGCTGAAACTCAATGCTAAGGTTAAACACTCGCAGTAAATTTTACAGCAGGCGTGCAACCCCGATTCCTTTACTACAGTTTGTACCTACAATTTAGTACTACAATTTTAAGTTCTGCTTTACCACACTCTGAGCGGTAAGACCGTGTATTGGTGTAAGTTAACCACTATCCCATATCATCCTGTGGCTGTTGTAAGAGGTGATAGAAGTAAATAAATCAACAGGCAACGGCGTGTGATTGATAACAACACAAAGTTATTAAAAAAAACTGCAACTATCGCAAAATCCCTCCTATGAGACAATCTCTAGGGAGGCTTATGTTTAGCAGTGGCTTTTTGTAGTTTGTAATGGATAGATGGATGGAGCATTGAAGCTAAACATCGTAGAGAAATCTACATGTCTAAGGGATAAAAATATTTTGGAGAGACGTGAAGTTCACTACGCACTAAAGCAGAGGATTATATCCTGAAAATAAGGAGTCCTGTGTAAATATGTGTCGCATCAAAGTATTGATCATTACAGTTATACTTTTTAACGTTCCGGATCAAACGATTGACAGGACCTTACCAGAGTACTTAAACTCGAAATGATCAATTTGAATGATCGACCTTAATGACCCGCTTTACAAGACAAATGAATACTTGAATTATCGGTTCACTAGAAATGAGTTGACATATGTCTGGTCCTGTGTCCTGTGCTGGCATATAGGCAGTTCAAACACAGGTGACAGAAGAAAACTAAAACAGAAGATGGACGCAGCATTATCGTGTTAAGAGCTCAAATAATGAAAAATCTGCGGCTGCTTTATCTGTCTACCAAGCGTGACAACTACGGCAAATGTTCCCAATATGAGATAATCTGTGGGTAGGCCTACGTTCAGCACTTACTTTTACTTTTGATAGGCTGTGCTGGGTGCTAGAACCACACTACAGCGTATATGGTTGCACCACGGTCACCTAGGCCGTGTAAGTCCCACGCTCTCATAGAATACCAGTGTGAAATAGCAGTTTCATGGCGCTGTGTTTCCTTTGGTGAGTTCAGAGGACCGGAATCCCTTTTAACTAGAAACGAGACGTTCTATCTTAGTCCTCAGGGGTGAAAAATGAAATATGTATGAGCAACGATATCCATTTACCATCAGGTCGACTGTGTACTTCTTATGTATAAATTATTGTTCCTTTAGTGCTGCTGTCTGTTTTTCGCCTAGTCTAGAAGGAAGTTCCAGAGTGTTGAACTCAGATCAGTAAATAATTTACTGATCTGATCTTTAGTTTGTTCTTTAGTTGAAGAACGAAGAACCCTTCAAGATGGTTAGAAAAAATAGAACTGCGACTTGAAAATAGGCATAAAAAGTGATTTAAGAAATAAGGAAGAAACGAAATCTTAACTTAATCTTAGCGATTAAAGGCAGATCATAGCTAATTTAGGCGACCATTCTATCCTAGTATCAAGAAAGTAAGTTGGAAGATGCATTCCAACCTTTGTTTTTAATTAAAAAGCTTAATAAAAGACATAATTGTTGCACTGTAAAAAGGTGGACCATTAATCAGCGGTCGAGTTGTTTTATTGGTGACAGCGACACGATCGCGACGTTCGTAATGCTCGCGATGACTGCTTCATGCCTCGTGTAAATAATAATGGTTTATTAGACTAACATAAAAATGATACACAGGTTCCGATTGAGCCTTAACTTCTGTACTAGGAATCCTGGATATCAGGTGCTAGTCCCACCACAGTTTGTGCACAAACAATATTAAGATTCATTATAAAATTCAATTCAATTTCGTTGCATTCTACTTTATTTTATTCAAATTAACTTGTAATAGTTTAAATTTGTTTTTTTTTTTATTTTCATTGCTTGTTTCACAAATTTTTATTCAAAAATTAAAATAAATTAATATAAAAAGAAGAAAATTGTGTAATAATTATGTAATAGTAATATGACAAATCTGTGGGTGTATGTATGTGTTTTGTACATATATGTTGTTATACGAGTACGTAGTACAAGAAAAAAGTTATAAGAGTTAAAAAAATATGTTTAATCAATTATTTTAAGTAAAAAAAGAAGAAAAAAGAATAGATTTTTACAATTAATAGACTTTTGCAGCAATCATAATCTTAATTAGTCACGATTAAAGTATATCTTTACGCGAATACTATAAATTACATAGTTAAAGTTAAAAGTTAAAGTTACAACCTATATACGTCTCGCTGCTGGGCACAGGCCTCTTCTTATTTTTTTTGAGGGTTTTAGGACAAGGAAGTGTCCGCCGCGCTGTCCCAGAGCATGTTGGCGAATTTCACATGTCTTCGAAATATTTTTTTTCTTATTTCTCAGAAATGCAGATTTTCTCACGATGTTTTCCTTCACCGCCGATCACATGGTTAATCAGCACTTAAAATTATCACTATCAATTTCATCTCTGATTTTTGAATATTAATTTTTAGTCCAATCTACGCAGACCGGACCAAAAATTAAAACAGGAGTAATAAAAAGAATTAAAAATTAATTTCAACGCGCAGAAAAAGCCTTGATTTATTGCCACTGCTCACGTAATTGTCATCTGTGAGGTACTAACAATTTTATAATGGTGTGTCAAACGAACACACAGTCTACATGATGGTAAGTGAATGTTGTGGCCCATAGATATCTACATCTAACCTCCATTAAGTATAAACTCAAATTGCTGATACGTTTTCACCCGTGAGGACTATGATGGAATGCCTCGTTTCGTAAGAGGAGCTCTGGTCTTCTACACGAAATCAACATACGAAAGCATTATTCTGCTGTTTTACGCTGGTATTCCGTGAGAGCGTGGCTCCCGTCGAGCTTACTCATTCGTGGTGCAGCCATAATATAGCTTTTTTAAGTGGTAGAGCCATGCTGCAGCTATATTATTTGTATAATTGTAGCACGAATGCGTCGGCACGACCGGGGAAAGACCACGTTCTCACAGTATACCAGCGTAAAATAGCAGCTTAATGCTGCTGTGTTTCGTATGGTGAGTGTAGAGAACCGGAGACCTTTTTTACTGGAAAAGAGGCATTCCATCTTAATCCTTACGGCTGACAACGCATCTGCATTTTGATTCGCAAACTAGGATAGATGTAGATGTCTATAGACCACAGCAACCACTTACCATCAGGTGCACTGTGTGCTGGCTTGTCACCCTAGTCCTTTAAAAAAAAGCTGTAGTATGGTTCTACCACATAAAATTACACAATATACATATGCAACGCTAAAGAAATTACAGGTTGCTATTGCAGAGATTAATTTTCGTTTTTGACCCTTCTGATTTGAATATAGGTAAGAAAGAATCAACATTTTCAGATATAGCGAGTTCACCACCCAGAACGTTATAGATATGAACATAAAAAAACAATACTTTTTTTACTAAACATAAATGCTCTGAAATCTTCAAGTGCTAGTCTACGTAAAGCGATGAATGATATAATCACCGCGACCAAGACAGCCGTTCCCTGAAGACCGGCTACGTGTGGTTGCGATAAATCAGCCGGCTCAATTCTGAGAATAAATCGTCACGCGTCACTACACACGCGAGTCTGTGGCTCTCTGTACCAATAGCTCTAAGAGCTGTATACGCTAAATAACAACAATAATGCTTATAGCTTTTAGAGTTACGTACACTTATTATTACAAGCTGTAAAGTCCACTGCTGAACATAGGCCTTAGATTAACTCACAGGGAGGATATTTGGAATATATGGAACTCTGGGAAGCGAGTTAACAACCGTAGTTCTTTTTTATAATTTTTAGTTGTAAACAGTAAGATGCTGCTGCCCATCTGCTGGTATCTTTCCCTCTGACGCCTCTTACGATACCCACGGGATGATAAGAGGTAGTGGACAATGTTACTCCGCCACTACATGGTAACCACAATAATGCTTCATATATTAGGTCCTTACATATGAAATTGGCGTTTTGTACGGGAGGAATATAAAGTCAATTTTTTGTAAAATATATTTAATTAATCAAAGTATGCACCGTTGTTATCTATGTATCTACTTTTGCCATCTCATAGGTAGTTCATTGATCCCTTTACTAAAAAAACCATGGGGGCGAGAATCAATAAACTCTTTGAAGGCGGTTTGGGCTGCCGCATCAAAGTTGAATTTTTTTCCTTGTAAGAAGTTGTCCAAATTCCGGAAAAAAATGGTAATGTGTTGAAACAAGGTTCGGGGAGTACGGTGGATGTCGCAGAAATTCCAATTGTAGCTCATCTAACTTAGTGGTTGTTTGTTGTGCAGTGTGTGGTCTTGCATTGTCGTGAAGCAGCAATGGCCTCGAGCGATTGACCAATCTCGGTTGTTTAGCAGCTAGATCTTCCTTCATGGTTTGCAGTTGCTGACAATAGATATCTGCCGTAATTGTTTGGCCAGATTTTAGAAAGCTGTAGTGAACGACACCGGCGCTAGTCCACCAAACACTCACAAGTAACTTTTTCTGAGTCAATTTTCGTTTAGGGCAGGATTTGTCTGGGTTCAGCCATTGCGACGAGTGCAAACCGATTATCGTACAGTATCCACTTTTCATCACAAGTAATGATTCGATTTAAAATCCCTTCATTATTGTATCGGTTGAGCAAAGTAAGACAGCAGTCGACGCGTGTTTGCAAGTTCGATTCACTCAATTCATGAGGTACCCATCGTTTAGGTTTTTTTACTTTCCCGATTTGCTTCAAGTAGATTAATACAGTTTTATCACTTACCCCAAAGCCTGCAGCTATCTTTGAAGTGCTTTGTGATGTATCCGCTTCCACAATAGCCTTTACTTCTTTATGTTCCACTTTGGTCTCCGGCCGTCCACGGGGTTGGTTCTGAAGGTCAGAATTTCCAGAACAAAAACGTTGAAACCAAAAACGTATCGTACTTTCTTTTCCGACACCAGCGCCGTACACATCATTAATTCTTCGAGCTGTTTCTGCAGCACTGGTGCCACGGTAGAACTCGCACTCGTAAATATACCGATATTTCATGTTTTCCATTATGCGGTAATAAGCGACGCCAAAGAAAAACATAAGGAGGAAAAAAGAGATGAATGATTGTTTTCAAAACTCAAATGTACCAGCTAAATAAATTTATAAATTTGAATTTGGAATTCTTAACCAAAGAGGAGATATTTTAGATCAAATTGGTCAGTACGACAAAACGCTAATTTCATATGTAAGGACCTAATATAAGTGAATGTGTATGGATTTTGCATGGTAATTAGAAAGAAAAACGGTGTATTGTGGCGGCGCTGTCGTCGCGCCATAAGTGGAACACATCGAAGCCTAAATCGTGTTAACAAAGTTCCGAAATTAAAGCAGTATATATAGAAAAGCTCCGAACTACCACTCGGAGCGGTGGCCGCTCTCTGGGCAGAACAAATTGCCCGGCGGGAGATCTCCCCTTTTCCTTCCATCCGCCACAGGTGTAAGAATATCCAATACTACATCTCGTCTCGTGGTTGTAGCAAGAGGAAACAGAGAATAGTTAATCGGCAAAAGAATTTTTATGTTAGGAGATAAAATAATTAAAAAAAATAATGAGTGACTGTCGTGTAACACTTTGTTTGAATTAAGTTCCTATCATAGTATATTATTATTGACAAACGTATTATATCATTGCTTAACAAATACAAATAAATTAATTACTAGCATCTATTAAAATGAAGTATCATTTAAAATAATATTTCTTTCATAGCTAAGAAAAATTGTGAGGGAGATGGATATGGGTAATGAATCTCGCTCGCACTATAGAAATGGGGTCGTGACGGAAAAAGCTAACACTATTTCTAGTCTAGCCCCCATCTGTCAAATTCAAACTGTGCGATAATGAACTTCATTCCAAAAATAGCGCTTGTCAACCAGCTTGCCGAGCGTGGCAATTATGGAGAAACCCTATGACGCAAGCTACGGGGAAGGCCAACTACTGTTGAACACAGTGGACTTTTGATGGCCTGTAACGGTAACGGTAGATGTGCTTGGGTAAAATACCACTTACCATCAGGTGGACTGAGAGCTCGTTTACTACTCTCATTTCTATAAACCTCCTAAACTCCTGATAACAATTTAAAATAATAAAAACTGCGGTTGCCAACCCGCTTGCAAGCGTGGCAGTTATGGCGAAATCCTCCCTGTGAGTTACTCTCTCAGAATACCAGCATAAAATAGCATATTGCTGCTGTGTTTCGTGTGGTGAGTGTAGAGATCTGAAGAACATTTTAACTGGAAATGGGGCATTCCATCGCAGTCCTCAGAGGTGACAACGCATCTGCTGTTTGATTCTTAATCGAAGGTAAATGTGGATGTCTATGGGCCACAGCATCCACCTACCTACAGGTGGACTGTGTGCTCATTTGCCAGCCCTATATTTTTTATATGTATATAAAAAAATCTATGGGAGAGGCCTATGTTTAGCAGTCTTAATCTTTTGCAAATTCGTGCTAAAAACCTCGATGTAGCAGCCAAGTTACATTGAAGCCACGGTTTGCCTACTGGTTAACGGCTCAGGCAAAACTACGAGTATAATTTGTTCTACTAATCCTCATTGTTGTCTGCGGCGTGTAAACACTTAAATCTTATCCTACAAATTCATCTAAACCATAATGTCCGTTGATTGAACCCGTCATTGTTAATCTCCGGCAATAAAACGTGCAATTAATTTATTGTTTGCTGCCGCTTATAAACTGCTTGCATGCCTTTTATTTCGTGTCACTCGTAGTGGTGGTGCATTTTTTAACGGCACTTTTTATCTCGCTCAACTATAGAAGACCATTGATGAATCTTTGTTTACTGGACATATACGGCCTCTTTTATGATCATTGGTTAATGCATATTTAAATTAAGTACTAATTATCCCTATATAGTCATCTGTTGCAAAGAGAGAGCAATTTGGAGGATGATTTTCAACTAAATTAAATCATAGACCTCGTGAATATACGAATAGCTTATTCATACATTTGTCGTGTAGTTGGTATATCCTGTGGATGTAGTAAAAGGTGACAAAGTGTGAATGAAACAGGACAGGAGCAGCAATGTCTTCATGTTAAGAGCTCAAAATAACAAAAAAAGAACACTGCGCTTATCATCCCACCAGCCAAGTTGATAACTATGAACTGGCGGACTTTTAATTGGCTGTTACAGTAACGGTAGTGGTAAGTGGCTTGGGCCAAAGACCACTTATCATCAGGTGGAATGTGTGCTTATTTATTACCCTTAATTTACTTGATTATAAATAAAAAAATATATCTGTTAAAAAAATTATTTATTCTCAACAGCTACACCCTTCCAAAATCGCGCCCCTTAGTATGCTTTGTTTATAGGAGAAGGTGACAAACGAGCACACAGTTCACCAGATGGTAAGTGGTTGCTGTAACCCATAGACATCTACATCTATACTTAATAAAGAATCAAAATGCAGATGCGTTGTCACCCGTGAGAACTAAGATTGAATGCCTCTTTTCCAGTAAAAAATGTCACCGGTTCTCTATACTCACCATACGAAACACAGCAGCGTGTTCGCTGTTATATTACGCTGGTATTCTGTGAGAGCGTGGTCCTACTCCGGTTGAGTCTACCCATTCGTGATTCAACTATACTATTAATATAGCTACAGTATGGCCATACCACGTATAAAATTAGTAGCAAGATTTGTCTTACTTACTACGTTGGCCAAACGATTTGCAAGATTTTCCTTACTAACAACGCTGACCAAGCAAGATGATGGGCGTCAACACCCGTATTTTCTTAAAATATATGTGATTCAATTTAACTAAATTGCATTAGTCAGGTTATTTAAAGTCATTGTTTACTTTAGTTAGTGTTTTCATTCTATAACAAATTGAGTCTCTATAAGACAAAATTGAATATATATAAATGAGTCTCAGTCAGTGTGTTTTAATGTGTGTTATTCTCTGGCTTATAATGGTTAAACCATAGATATTATAACATATATCTATAGGTTAAACTAAACTATAAAGACATATACAAAAAATCTTTCCTGTCCTGTGCACTCCTTGACTTTTTATGATAAATTATTTTCTGTTATTGGAGTAAAACTTTGGAACTCTTTACCCCACTCAATTAAAACTGCTCAATAAATTTGTTCCAGAAACAGGTCAAGGAACAGGATTTGTCTCTCTAACCCCTCTCTCTTCCTCCTGTTATATATGGATATTGATATACCTAAAGAATGTTGTCTTTCTAGTGCAAAGTTGCTATCTTTTCTTATTTTAGTGCACCCTACCAGTTATTTTTTTTTTGTGATTTATTAATTTTATTCTTCTTTTAAGTTGTTTGGAAGAGAATGCTATGTAGCAATAACACAGTCTTTTATTTTCCCTCAATATTTGTTTTTTTTTTTTGGTATTTTTATCTTTTCTTAGTGTACAATAAAGAGTATGGTATTGTATTGTGATGCCTCAAAAGTTGTTCCTTTTGACTTGGAATTAAAAACAATGTAATTGCGAGTTCGCAATAATAAAAATACAAGTTAATATTCCTCAGTGGTATGGCATGGTACCCAGATGGAGTCCTAGACAAAATATTTCATATATATATATATATATATGTCTCCAAACAGATATACCTGCACCGTTGTGTTTTAGTCTGAAGTGTATAGACAGCTGGTATGATTACACAATGTGAGGAACTCCATCTTCGTCAGGGAGTACAAAGAATCTGTAGCCATCTTTGTTTGAAGTTAAGGCAGATGATATGATATCTTATTATTTACACGAATACTACACATCGATTAAAACTAATTTAGGGATTTTATCATGTTTCATTTAACTTGTTTTCGGTTATTTTACTTTACAGTACCCAGTCCTCCTGCACCCCGTGACCTGCTGCACGGCTAGCATGGGCTGGGGACAAAAATTTTATTCCCCGATTATATCCACTAACAAGAGATAAAATTATCCCTAAATTGTCCCTATGCCAAAGCTCGGCAACGGGGAGAAGTATATCCCCGTTTGACACAACGAGTAGACATATATCCCCCGTCCGTAACATGGAGCCAAATTAAAGGCGAACTTAATGTCATAGGGTAGTCTCTCCCAGTCAACCATTAGGCTAAACAGAGATATACAAACAAGAAGCGATGCAGTAGTAATGAAAATAGAAAGCGCTAAAAAATATTGTATATACATATAAATATACATATACACACATACATAGACATATATACTTAAATACACACAATATATACGTATATAAATACATACATACACATATACATGCATACACTACATGTATACACAATACATATAAATATTATCTATGTCAGAACAAATATGAAATATACATATGTGTATGAAAATAAGAGCTGTGTTAGTTCAAACTTGCAACGATTTTTTCACATGCTTACGGACTTGATTTTTCGAAAATTTTCAATTCATACTTCATTCAAATTAATATCAATTTAAAATCAATTTGAGCATGTTTGCCAATGCCGGGTGCCCGATTACTTCGCCGTTATTAGATCTCGGGAGCTTTTTGGTCCCGCATCCATGATTCTGAGAATAAGATCCTCAGGGTGTACTACGAGTGCTCAGAGAATCCCATACTACAATATTGGCGTGCCGTGCATCGCGACAATAACTGTAAATAGATAGAACGAACTCCCTTTTGGGGGTAATTTTAGTATTTTTAGTATTAACTTATGATTACAGTTGAATTGTCTTTTATTTATCTTATTTATTGTATCCTTATACTCCTAATTATATTTTCATTTTGTTTTTAACATTTAAAACTTATTGATATTTGAAATGGGTGTAAAAAAAGCCTGAAATAAATGACTATTATTATTATTAATTTATTTTGATATTTATTTATGATTATTATATGTTATTTGTTTTAGTATTTTTTTATTTTTATAGTTTTGAATATTGTATATAATAAAATATTATGTAATTTAAATTTTAAAGAGTAATATTCTTTAATTAAGAATGATAGTAGTAGTATCATTAAAATTAAATTATATAACTTTCAAATAAATTTGT